CGCGTGCTGCTTTCATGACGAGAGGGCCCGGCGTTGGGGTCGGGGTCGGGGGGGAGGCCGTGACCGTGACCGTGGCCGTGACCGTGCAGCGTCAGGGTTGGCGGCCGTCTGGGCCCGAAGCGGTAGCTTGTCGTTGCGAGGGCCGGGGCTGACGTGTCGTGGCCCGGGACGAGGGTCGCGGTGCCGGAGCGGCCGCTTGCGCGGAGGGAGATGTACTTTGCGGGGGCGCCGGGGGGCGCTGCGGCGTCGTGGACCGGGATGGGGTGCGGGGCCGGGGGCCCGGGGAGGGAGATGGTTGGCTTGCCTGGGTTGATGATCTTGAGGGTCGTCGTCGGTGTGAAGGGCTGCTGCTGTCGGCAGGCGATGGCGGGCGAGGAATAGGCTGGGAGGGAGGGGGTTGAGGAGGCCGTCGACGGTCGCCTTGCCGTTGGCGTGTAGAACGGGGGTGCTTCTGTTACTGTGGACATTGTGACGGATGGGTCGTCCTCGGCTTGGCTCTATACACGTCTTCGCGTGGTTGTCTGCGGTTTGCCAGGTGCTGGCGATCAGGTCTTGGCTGTGATATTCAATCCTTTCAATACCTGCCGTGTCCACGCGAAGAATGCCTCTCTCTTATATCTTGAGATCGAGCCATTGAGAAACACATCATTTGCCATGCGATTAACCTGTCTTCTCGTCAACAGACGGTGGCCAAGGCAGAATCCGGGTCATTCCCGCCGAACACCGTGAACGCGAGATACGGCAGCACAGCCTCCAGCCAGCCTTGCAGCATGCTCACAGGATGACGGGCCAGACAAGCTTTCGTCGATCGGGCGCTCGCGTGTGGGCGGGGCAGTGTTTCTGGAACGATACGGGGAATACGAACCAATCGAACGCGGTGCCCTACAGACGGCGCGAAAGGGTGTTGGAGTAGCTCTGTGATCGACAGAGGGCCTCATTGCAGTGTCTCAAAACGTTCCCACGGGATGCGCGGATGGCCACGACTCACGGGAAGACGGCATTCAAACACAGTAGACAAACAAGCAAAGCATGTCACATAATCATGGTCAATACGAAAGCAAGGCTCGCCCAGTAAAGTAAACAAGATAACCCATGGGCCAGCAAGGATCACATCCTTTGGCCAAAGAAGGACAGGTCGCGGTCCAGTTGCTGAACCACCCACTCAGGCCACGCGTTGTAATTCCTATGTGCCGCATCAACCTGCCTGTTCAGGTGTCGCAGCCAGCGCAGCATGCCCTCCTCTGTATGATCCCTGTCGGCCGGCGCCTTCTGCCGCACGTCATACTCGTGCAGCGTAATCTCGGCCATGATCTGCTTGAGGGCGATCCAGTGCGCCGCCAGCAGCATCATGACCTGGCTCCCGCGGTCGACGACCAGCTGGAACCGTTCGTGCGGCAGCATGATCCACCACCCGTAGTGCGCCTTCATGCACTGGTAACCCTCCCATGACGACCGCCGCAGCGTGACGGCCATGTCGAGCAGGCGCGCGTGGTACTCGGCCGCTGTCGAGTCGGGAGCCCCGCAGAGGGGCGCCAGGTTCTCGATGCCCGTGACGGCGCCGTCGACCCACGCGCGCGGCAGCGGGGCGAGCTTCTCCATGACGGGCTGCATCAGGGCGTTGGCGTCCTCTTCCATTATGTTGGAGAAGATGGGGCGGATGCGACGCGTGGCCATTTGCATGCCGACGACGACGATGCCGCGGATGAAAGCCATGTACTCGGGCATGCCGTCTTCGAGGAGCACCGACTGGAAAGTCAGGGCGAAGCAGGCGGATATGAGAGCGTTCGCCTGTTCGTGCGTCAGGCCGCGTCGGGGCAGGCCGGCGAGCGACTTCTTCATGGCGCGGATGGCCTTTGTGCGGTGGACCATGGCTTGTGGGAGGACCGAGGGGTCCTGGCTCCTGAGCTCGCAGGCGGCGAGGCCGAGGATGGCATGCATGAGGTAGGGATGCTACGGCGTGTTAGCCAGTGACGTTTCGTGGAGGAGGAAGGTCTTGCTGGCGTACCGTCTGCGAAAGACATGGCACCTCGTGCGTCCAGACGTTCTCGTTGCCGAGAGGATGATGGGGGTAGCACTGCAGCAGGAAGTGCTGGAAGAAGCGCATATCCTCCATGGTGAAGATGGGTATCTTGTGCTGGGGCTGGTGCGTGATTTGGGGCAGACTGGGATATTCGCACTGGAGGCCCGATTTGCGACAGTGACCGCAGGCTGGATGGGTCTCTTGACACTGCGAATGGTCAGTGTGGTCATGATCGAGAAGGGCTGATGTAGCCTGATCGGGCTCGGCACCTTGATGCGTCTGCGCTTGCAGTTGAAACATCCTCTGCGGCTCTTGGTGTGGCCCCTCCTCTCGAGTTTCTTCTGGGTGGATGGCACAACCGTGGTGTCGCTGGAGCGGAAATCGACCGACGATGAAGACAGATTGAGGGCGGAATCTGGGTCGGAGCCGGAGGCGTGTAGATATTCGTCGCTTATGCCGAATTCCATATCCCCATCGAGGAACGCGCCGTAGTCAAAATCATCTGGTGGCACCGCCATCGTTATTGGAAGCAGTGCCGGCATCTGGGGCTGCGTCGAGTCCATATTGGTGAGTCTGGAACGAGTTATGGAACAGACAGTATGGTATGAGAGAAGCATCCGTTTCCAACTCGCATCTCAGTCGCTTCGTCTTCTAGCACGCAGAATGCTGTACGTCTCAATTCTGAGGCCCGCTGCGTGATCACCCGAAGATCCAATTCAGCCTTGTGAGGCCAAGCCCCCGTCAATTCATTCCCAGCGTGAGCGAGACAGGCCGTCACGTGGATGAGGGATGATCATTGATTGTCATGGCGGCAGTGAGACGGGCCATTGATGCGCCGCTCGTGAACCAAGTTGAGGTGCCACGGCGTGATTGGGCCGTTTCCATCGTCCCTCTGCGTTCGCGCGCTGAGCTGCACCATGACCACACCATGCTGGCGACACTCGTCGTTATCGCTGGTCTGCGCACTAGAAAGGAGGCTCCGTCGTCGATCTGTCCAGCGTTAGGCTTCGTGGTCGTCGCAGCGAACACTGTCCGCTCGAAAGTCTGTCGGAGACGGACTGGATGCAGCCGTCCCCTCCAAGACAGGGCGTGTCTGCCTGGCTTCCGAGCCGTTTGCTTACCCCGTTCAGCGTCGGCGATTGTGCTGCGACCCGTCCCACATCCGGCGGAACACGTGGTGCATTGTAGGCAGGCCGCACGTCGAGTCCCCGGGATCCGCTGGTTTTGTATGTCACAACCAACCCAGGCGTTGGGTTTCGTCGTGCCGCAGATGTTTGCTGGCAGTGGCCCCGTGCCGCGCGTGATGCGCCAGACGCCCAAGCCATACTTGGTCGACTTGGATGTCGTGCCTATGGCAGCTTACCCAATGTCCGTACATAGGTCCTCCGTTGATGTAAGACTGGCCGGCTGGCTGGAGGCCCCCTTCTTGCTCAAAAGCATTGCCAGCTGGTGACAGCTGCAGCAGTGCTTTCTCTGAATGGGCGCATCGAAGCCCCATGCTTGATGTACCTAGATGGGCAGGTCGTACATTCCAAATGGCCCACAGATTACTGACATTCGGGATGGCCGGAAAGAAACGTTAGCCAGGGCAGGGCATCAGGTGACAATGGACTCAATGCCAGCACTGGAACGGTGCCTGACTAGAAAAGCCTCACCGGGAACGGCAAAAGCCTTCGCTGGCCAAGGGCAAAAGCAACGTGTGTCACAACCTCTAGCTCCAGTACAGTCCGTCCACGTCATATAGACGACAAGGCTAGACAGAGAGCCAGCGGTTCAGCACCACGACCACCGCCTGCCACGGTCACAGTGCTTCTGTCGGATTAGCTTGTGGCTGTCTATTGGCCGGCAAACGGCGCAAGATCACCATGTCATTCTCCCAACAGAAAACTAAGCCACCGGCTGGTATTCAACAAGCAAGCCTCCTGCGACGGAGGCGTCAATCATCAGATGTCCACATGCGTGCGTGTGTGTGTGTGTGCTGGATGCAGTCGAAACAAACGTTAAGCCAACTAGCTGATCATGTGTGTTTGCCGGCTCGGTTACACGTCTGTCATGTGAATGACTGACATGGAAAAAAAACCGCTGCCTCCGACGGTGACAACACGCCCGAGCCTCCGAAGAAGTATGGTCCTGGTGGAGATCAGGCGCTGGGGTTTTCAGCCGGCCAATTGTTCTCCAACGGACTTCCAGGTGATGGATGAGCCTGTGAGAATAAATCTCTCGAACGCCATGTCTTGGCAGTTGGCCTAGATGCTGCCGATCCCAACTGCCACGGTTGAGAATTACTTGGTGGTTACGTGTCGTGTCACTACTGACTTTACTGACTTTGCTTTCAGCCGAGGAGACGGATTAAGGGCAGACAGACCTCTCTACCCGATGCCGGCCAGGAACCCGGAAACGGCGTTGTGCGCAATGAATAAGCACTCAGCATGACTGCCAAGTCCAGTAGTAGAGTGTAACCCTTTCGTCCAGCCAGGCTTGCTTCATCAATCCAACCTCGTGTTCCCCTTTGGGCAGGAGCCCGTGGCCTGAAGAATGCGTATGACGTGGCCAGCAGAGGCTTTGCTTCTCCTGCCCGCGCGCGCTCACGCCCCTCCAGCTAGCCCTGACGCTGAGAAGGCCGAACGGCTAAACACAAGGGCGATTGGAGGGGGTAAACAGTAGGAATTTTGTGCGTGCCCCATCACCGAATCGCGCGTGGTGGCTTCGCCGCGACGTACATGTACGCCGAGTGGGCGGCAATGGAGTCGACATGAGCCGGATCGTCCCCCCCGTCGAGTCGAAAGAAGGCAGCTGCAAGCAAGTTCTGGGCCTTGTTTTTAGCGTACCTATCGTGGTGGAAGGGGGTGGTCGGGGAACGGAGCTCTCGTTCTCTCTCGTCGCCTGAGGCTCGCAGCCCGATCCACCTTCATCGTCCAAGGTCGAGATGGCAGGTTGACCGGGGTCAAGCTTTTGCCTATTGCTTCCTTTGTGTTGGCCCTGGCAGGCCGCGGGCCTTGATGCTGGTTCCGCGGGACGGCATGTGGTGGCCGGCAGGGTCTCACGGCACGGCACTGGGATATTACTTGGTACGCCTCTTAGCTTGATCGTGAGAGGTTTGGGCGGCCCCCTCCAAGCGATCGTGAAAACCGTCAGGCTGGTAAATTAGACAGGACGAAAAGAGGGCTTGCGAGGGCATGAGACAGCCCGCAGACAGAGAGATGGGCCCAAAGTAGGGTTGGCGCGCGGGTCCGTTGAGTCGTTTTCTGTTTCTTTTCTCCGAAGCGCCAGGGGGTGGCAGTGGATGTCCACCGATTCTGTGTGTGTGTGTGTGTGTGTGGCCGAGGCCAGGGTTCGTGATTCAGCGAGGAGAAGTCAGGGCCGCCAGGGTATTCAGGGCATTCAGGGCAGTCAGTGGTTTGATGGTGCCGCCAAGCGGATGAAGGGCCCCCGGGGCGGCAGGTGCTCATTTCGCTTCCTGCCCGCCCGCCGTTTCACGGTCTCATCGAGGAACGGGGCTAGTCGGAATGGGGGAAGGTGCGAGGGGAAGACCAGTCTTGGCTTGGTTTAGTCAGGGGTCGAGGATATCGACAACGTGGCCCGGTGCGCTGGATTGTGAAACGGACAGTTAGCGTAGAACACGGGGCGGGTGAAAGCAGGGGCTCTCGGTGCCTCCTCGCTGACGGGACGGCCAGAGACGGCCGCCGGACAGACACAGTCAAACACACAGGCTGGTTGGTTGGTACCTGAGGGACCTGCGTAGGCAAAACGAAAGAGATGGGCCGACTGTTCGTCTGAACTCGTGTGATTCGACCTGTCGTCTCTTTTCCCACTCTTTTCTCGTTCGCTCAATCGTTCGTCGTCATTCTCATTCACCACACTTCTTCAATCGCTCGCTCGCTCGACGGGTTCGACAATGGACCCACTGCTCAAAGGGTCTAGAACCGAGGGGGGCGGTGCTGAGAGTTGCCCTGAACGGTGGTGATCGCCTGTTGCAGTCCAGAACAGGGAGGTGCACCTTGCTCGGGGCTGGCCATGCGATGGTCGATAACCGATCAGGTCGGATGGACGATGGGCGCTCATCGCACATCCGGTACGGGGAAAGTTCCAGTGTTCAGCCGTCCGGAAGGAGAAGCACGCTCAGCCTGAGCCGCCAGATCTTGGCCGTTTCCGGCGTTCCGTCACCACATGGGCCCTCGTGGCCCTCAGCGTCCCCAGCGCTCTCAGGTCTGGCCCGTCCAGCGCGAGTGTCGCAGGTAGCGCCTAGCCCTCTGTGAGCGGCTGCGCGAGCGCGCGACTAGAGGGGCGAGTGCGAAGTCAAGGGGGCATGGAAGAAAGGCATTTGCAAGCGACTAGAGGTAGATAGACTGGATAGACTGACCAGACTATACATCCCTCCAGTGCTATAGCCTGCAAGGGCAAGCAGATACGAGCGGCCGGTGTACGTGTACTATGTACCAACCATATCCTCGTTTGTGGACCTTGTGCCTCCTCGAAAGGCCGCGTCGTTCCTGCCAATTGACTCGTCGCTGCACCAAAACGACCCCCCGGCCATGGTACCTGCATCGGGTGTGAGCGTGGCAGGTACAGTGGAAGTGGGAAACCAGGGCGCCCTGAACTGGAAGGGACACAAAGAGAAGGAAGGCGCGAAGGTCTGGCCCCTGCAGGGGGGGGCCCACACCCCACCCACCCTCCTGTCGTGACGACTCCATCGGGCCCAGCCTGGCGTCCCCTCTCTCGATGGTGAATGTCAGGGCTACCCACCTCACCACACATTCACTGTTAACCCTCAGCCCTTGATTCATTGTTTGTCTGTTCCGGCACTCTTTTTAAGAACCCTCGTCGTCCCCCCTTTCCCCGGGCTTTTCGAAACACCTTCTCTACCCACATCACCGGCTTGACGTTCCCTCCTCAGCTACAAGCTCATTCCTTCTACTTGTCGCTAGCTTCGACATCACCTTCCTTTCTGCGTCTTTGATAGACAAGCACAACAAAAGCAAACGCAACAACGCTCCTTCACCTCGACGGTGTACACTGTTCCTTCGAAAAAGACTTCACACAAGACCCAGACAGGCCATATCAAGTCTCCATTTCGCCTTTCCCTCTCCTTGAACCTCCTTCAACTACACCCACGAACCCAGACACCGACTTCTCTCGTCGCCATGTTCAACAAGCAGGCCGTCACCGCTCTTGCCTCCCTGGCCCTGGCCAAGGAGGCTGTTGCCTTCAACGCCCACCGCCACTCCCACGAGGAGCGCGACATTGTGTACGCGCACACCCACGTTGAGATTGTCACCGAGTGGGTCACCGTCACCGCCGGCCCTGGCCAGCCCGCTCCCAGCCCCGACTATGCGGCTCCCCAGAACCCCCTGACCACCACCTCGACCTACGTCGTTGTCCAAACCCCCGCCGCCGTCGAGCCCCCCGCCCCGGTCGTGCCCCCCACTACTCTCCAGACTGCCGTCGTCGCTACTCCTGCGACTTCCCCCAAGGAGGAGGGCGCCCAGGACACTCCCAAGAAGGAGACCAACTCCGGCTCTACCGGTACCTCCGGTGGCAAGCGTGGCTTCGCTTACAACGACGCCAGCCTTGTCAAGAGCTTCTTCACCAACGGCAACGAGTGCACCAACTGCCCCTGGGCATACAACTGGGACTCCAGCGACAACGGCCTCTCCCAGGCTGGTGTTGAGTACGTTCCCCAGCTCTGGGGGCCCATCGATGTTCACCTCCAGCGCTGGGAGAAGAACGTCGCCAGCTCCATCGAGGCTGGTTCTACCCACATTCTGTCCTTCAACGAGTGCGATATGCCCTCGCAGTGCAACATGGATGCCTCGTCGGCCGCCGACGCCCACGTCAAGCACGTCAACCCCTTGGGCAAGCAGGTCAAGATTGGCTCCCCCGCTGTCACCAATAGCAACATTGCCGGCCAGGGCCTCGACTGGCTGAGGGACTGGGTCGCTGCTTGCGATGCCAAGGGTTGCGTGTACGACTTCTGCGTCGTCCACTGGTACTCTCCTCTTGAGGCCGCTGACACCCTCTTCACCCACATTAAGCAGGCTTCCGAGATCTGCGGTGGCAAGCCTGTCTGGCTGACTGAGTTTGCTCCTCTCAGCGAGGACGACGGCGCCGTTTCTTCCTGGATCCAGACCAACATCCCCAAGCTCGACGCCCTCAAGGAGCTCGAACGCTACTCCTTCTTCATGGTCGCCGAGGGCAACGGCAAGCTCATCAGCTCCGGCGGCCTCTCCGGCGCTGGCAAGGCCTACGCCTCCTCTTAAGCTGTGCAACCTCCTCGTTCGTAGCGAGTATCTCGCTGTGATACAAACACTCTTCACTTCTTGCACATAACCACTTTTTTTCTCGACATTCCACCTTTTGCGTCCGTTGGGTGTCATTCGCTGGATCACATCTCCTTTTCCCACTGGATGATTATCATGAACAAGGGTTCATACTCGAGGGGCTGGGAAACACCACCCAAGATCTTGGAGGCGATACCCGAAACTTTGGTGTTTTGGAAGGACACTGTTTCTTTTTTTTTTCTTGTACCGGAACATAGAGAACAAAAACGGCACAAAGGGCATAAGGGGACAAATAGGTACGGCACAGGGCACGGTACAACACGGGTCCAAGGACGGACAAGGATAGACATTCGTTTACGAGCTACGAAGCAACAAAGAAATCCCATTTCCCATGGCTATATCTCTCCTCGTCTCCATTGCATGAAAACTTTTTCGCTGTGCGACTTGCTATGCTCTTACGACGAGACCATGCCCGTACGATGAGAGTGGTAGTTAGCCAAGACGACAAGCCGCATCCCACGAACCTGGTCACCCGCGTGCATCTCCAGATCGTCCAATCTCGCCTCTGGCCTTGTACGGAAATTACACGCAGATCAAGCTCCCCTGCCCAGCCGGCCCGCGTCGATCTTCAGCCCCCAGCACACCAAAGCGGCTTTGTGAATCTGCAGGTTCTCCTCGGGACCCAAACATGGCTTTTCCCTTGTCGCTGTCCTTTGTCCCCTTCTGTGTCGTCGTGGTCTCGACTACCGGTCTGCGCGACAACCGACTTGGGTGTTTTTTTTTTAACCTTGTCTCGCCTCGCCTTTGTCTTAGCTATTTTCGCTGGTCGGGGCGGGTGAGCTAGTGGGCATGGCGTGGGGACTCCAGGTGCTCCCCGCCCGGATGAAGACTGGTGCCTTTGGTGGGGGGCATGGCGAGATCGGTCTGGGCGTCTGGAGAATCGCCCTGCTGGGACGTCTTGCGTGCTCTGGGAGGGCGGGACTCCGGCTCCGGCGGCGTCCCACCTTCCCAGGTCGTGGGTTCAACGACCCGACTGCTTGGCTTTGAACGCAAATGGTCTTAGTGAATGGTTTAAACTTCAGGCGCCGGAGGCAGAGATGAGGGCGAGAGCGGATGGCTGGGGATCTGAGGGCACACCATTTTCACAACTTCTTGAGGTGAACTAATTCACATGAGAAACTCTTCGTAATGGGAGAAATGTCACGAGAAAGACGTCGCCAGAGTCAGGGCACTTCTAATGTCGAATGCCGGCCAACCAGGCAGTACAGTCAACTCTCACTACGCTTCTGTGATATTCAAGATTACCCTGTAGAGCATATAATCAAACACGCCGCTATGGGCCGAACACCTTCCAGGCCCCTGACCTGACCGTTCTGTAATCCGGTCAAGATACGTAGGGGCGACAGGAGACGCTTCGGTCAGCCCTCGTCGATTGACTGCGTCTCCAACATCATGGCTTGCCACCACGAATTTCCGTCTTGCCATACATCAAGCCCTGTTCAAATACTCCGGCAGAAGCCGAGTTCTTCCTCGCTCCCCATCCAGGTCCCCTCGTAGACTCTGCCTCCTGGGCCTCCACTGGCTGGAAAACGGCCGGGCCAGGCCTTGACTCACGGCTGATCGTTGTCGTCACTAATACAACGCCATTTTGTCCGTGATGTTGTTGCTGCTGCTGCTGCTGTCCGGAGGTTGTTCGCGTAATTTCAGGAGGGTATCCGGAGCTGGACCGGCCTTTGTATTCCTCTTCGACACTAGACGCAGCATCGCCGGGGCCGTAAGGACTGTCGATGGCCATGGCACCGGGGTCGCCAAGCACAATGTCCTGTGACGAGGGACGGCGTGTGGAGAGATCAAGATGGTGATGAGATTTGTAGTCGGCGCCAAAGGAACCCTTATTGAGGCTGGAATGCCTATGGAGATTCGATTCGAGCTCAAGGCCTGGAGACGTGCGGTGGACCGGGTCTGATGAGCCGTCTGGGTTGTTGCTTGGGCCATTGTTCCCATAAAGGTCCGAGGTTGAGGAGAAAGAAGCTGCATTATCCTTGGATGTAACCCACTGTACGACAATAGCAGAGAAGAGGATGTCGAGATTGCAGCACATAAGACAAACCCATCCGGGTTCGCCGTTAAGAGCCATGAGTACTGTGAGATTGCTGTCGAGTGTTAGTTTACGTATGGATTTGGTGTCGGGAAGAGTACTTACACAATGCTACTGACGGTTGTGCAGAGCGCACCAACGAACGTGCGCATAGCGAGAGTGCGCAGGCGTACATTGGCGGGGGTTCGGGCGAAGTTCTTGAAGCTATAGAGATCTGCAGGTCGTGAGCGAATGGCCACAGAAGGAAGACAAATAGACTGCCCTTACTCTTCAGAGGGATGAGGAAAAGAATAGTGAGGTAAATGTTCACCACAGCGTCAAAGGAGATGAGGGGAATCATGGAGACCTTCTGCATGCCAATGACGCAGAGGCCATTCTCGAGGCGCGTGATGCGGCTGTGTTGTGTTAACAGATGTGACTCGGCGATAGGAGGGAATACGTACAAAATAAAGTTCAGGATAGCAATGACGACGTATACTCCAAGCATACCAAACGAGTTGAATAGATACATCTTGGACTTGAAGCGTGACTTCTTGGTGCCGCGGACGACGTGCTGGCCCATTATTAGTACGAGCACATTGAACATACGGTAAAGGCCACTTACAGCTCTCTCTACTAGGAAGAGATAGATCAACTGTTGCTGGGTCAATGTCATATCGCCATTCCAGGACACGATTCAACTTACGACCTGAAGTAGATGTTAGAGTCTTGCCCCAAAATGATACGTGTGAGGTGGGGAGGAGCTCACTTTCGTGGTAACATAGCAAACCAGACATAGCAGAATAGCCCCATCGCATATGGAGAAGCTCGTGTTCACGCCTAACGCAAATTGCAGAAGGCCTGTGACGAAAACAAAGAGGTACGAGTCGATATAGATGAGAAAAACGACTAAAATAGTCGGCAAGTTAGTTTGACGAGAAGGTCTTACTGGCGACGACTCGATGGGAGGAAACATACGCCAGACGACAAAAGGAAGCCTCTTCCAGACTTTTATTGCGAGGAATCTTTGGGCTGTAACACAGGAATTGATCCATTAGACGAAACCTACTCCATCAAGTCTTGCGGGAGAACTCACTGAGAAATGCCGAGATAACAGTGATAGAAGCGAGGCAGATGATGACACTGAAAACTATACCAGCGAGAGGCTCGACGGCATGCATGCCGGTGACGGCATCGGCCCTTTCCTGCCTTGCTTGTAGGTGAGGCGCCATGATGCAGCCCTCTAACCGTATGCCTCGCGGACTACCAGTGGCGATCGTGGGTGAGGTGTCGTTGATATAGGGAATCAACAAGAGCTCAGGTCCTCGCTTGACCTATCGACGATGTCGAGCCTCGAATGATAGCTGCCGCAAAGGGAGTTCAGGTATAAGAGGGCGAAGAGCGAGAACACAGCCTGGCTCGAGCCATTCCTCTACTGAGGAGCACGTTACGAAGGAGAAGGGGGGTCTTTAAGACCTCTTCCCTGGGCTGACTTGCCGGCGAGACAGCCACTAGGCGGGCCGTTGTGGTGGGCAGAGCGAGAGGGACAAACACCAAACCCAGGCAGGGTCAGACGCAAGAGAAGCAGGAAAGATCCCGCACGGTAGGGACCATAGTTGCCTACTGTTCACGCCCCGTCGTACCTGACCCGGCGCAGCTCTCAGAGCGACTCGCGGGAAAGCAGCACCAGTGAGGTACTTCCTTGGTGGGAAGTACTTGTTTGGTCGATGCAGAGGCGGGCCTGGCTACTGTTAGCTTCCCGCGCCGGGCGTAGGTGCTACCGCTGCTAGCTCGCGAGGGCGACGACGCCTTTGGATGGCTCGGCGAGGAGATCGAGTCCCAGCTGAGCGGTCAAAGCGAGCGTCTGCATGCCTATGTCTCTAGGCCTTGGTTGTGTGTTTTCTTCTTTTTGCGCCATTGTGTTCCCACGGCTTCCTTCGTATTTGTCTGCTTGGTCAACAAACATCCGAAGCTAGATCTCATTTTGTCCTGCAGCCACGTCTATGTTATGCCAGAGACCTGGCACGGGTCTCGAGGGGTCGGCGGCAATCCGAGCATCGGGGTATGGATGTGTCTCTGATGTGTCTTGCCAAGCACAACTCGATGTCGATTCATCGCGACAAGTCCACGCGAGGGACGAGTCTCAGAAGGGGGAAAAACGTGTGCGAGCGCAAGCCACATCCAACTCTCCACGTTCCTGACTCTCTTCGCCTACCAATCGATGTGCTATCGACTGACACAGAAGTAGTGGCTTTCGAAAATCCAATTTCGTCTCAACCCTCGACCGCTGACGCTGCGCGACTCGCGCCTCTTCCACCATCGCTCCTACTATACCTCAAATGACCTAAGGCATGATAATCGCCATCGCCCATCGCACCGCTCGGACACCCGCAACGGCACGGAGCAGCGCCGTCGCGCCTCCCGATTGCAGAATGCCACAACGAGTATCAGCAGGCAGCCAAGTTGAACCTTGTCCTGCACATCATCTGCTTGCCCAGGCTCTTCACTTCCCTCGCCCGAGTACCAAAACGCAAATCATCACAATGGGCACCCAACAGCCGCCGTAACAGGACCCGCGGCTGGCAACGACCCGCCGGAAGCAAGGACTCGGTGTGCATGCGTCGGTGCGTTCGTGCGGGACTCACGGGCCTACTACCTCACGCCAAAATGAGCCCAGAGCTGTGGCGAGGGCGAAGGCTACGAGATGGATATCGTCCACAAACCCGACTTCCTTCGGGCTCGTCCTCCGCCAGTCTGCCACGCCACACCAGTGGATGGCGCTGTCACTTTTTCCAGCCCTGTAGGGAGACGTGGCTTCGATTTCCCATGTACTTGTCAGAAATCGCTTGCCTGCCATAAACGTCGTGAAAAGCAAGCTGAGACTAGCTCTGACCTGCTGCGAAGAAGCAAGCAAAGAAGGCCGGCATCGAGTCCAGACCCGACCGACCACCAGAATCCTTGAAATCCAGGCAGCGCAGAACACTGGTGCAACGCTCCCGAGAACCTGGTCTCCCCATCACTTCCTGCTGACATTGCCTTTTCCGCGACGGCAACCATCTCTGTGGGCAATCCTCACTTCGTGGGCGCCGACGAGGCAGTCTAACTGGTTTGTTTGATGACCCCTCCCATCCCCGCCAAGAGCAGCAATCCGTCTGTGCATACTAGTAGCGTCAGTGCGCAGCGCCGCTCATATATGGATCGTAGTGAGAGCCTTCCACATCCAATGTGGCCACTTTACAAGCGCAGGTCCAAGACGTGAGTGCTGAAGGACTCATGTAGTTACAGAATCGTGCTCCAGAACTACTTAGCCTTGCAGGACAAATCTCCATGAATCCATCAGAACCCACCAATCCGCTCCGTGCTTGACTTGCCATGATCGCCCGCGCCGTCTGAACCCTCGCCCCGGCGCGCAAAGGCCGCCGCAACCCACATCCCTAGGAGCCTTGATGAAGCTACTGCATGCGTTATCACCAGCCCGTCCTGTACGTAGCACGTAGCTCTGAGCGTAAACCCCAGCGAGAACAGACGTGCAACAGGGCTTCCCGTCTACAGAGAGCTTCGAGAATCCACGCCGGCGTGTTCCAGGAGTGATGATCTTGTCCACAACCTCCTTCTTCTTGCGTTTGTCGAGCTCCCGCATCGAGCGACTGCGGGCACAACGTTCGTGCTCGTCCACAGACGCCGGTCAGCCCTTTCTCTGTCACATGATCCAGAGGAGCAACAACCTCCCGCGAAGAAGAGCGTCCACGTGCCGAGATTGAGTTCGCGTTAGGTCGATCACGCCGTAGAACCCTTCGAGACGGAACGCTTGCCGTGCAGTACCCCGATGGTCCGCCCCCTCCCCAGATCTCCTCGAGCCAACAACTCGCAACGACGTAACATCAATGAGTCAGGTCACGAATGGTCAACATGTTTTCCGTTACAAGATTGGCCGCACGCGGCTGCCAGCTACACTTATCCCAGGAAGGTAGCTATTCCCGTAAAACCCTCCAGCGAGAGTCTCCACGTCACTGCGGTAAGATCTCACAACCAGTTGGGGGACCAAGTTCCCCTCTCTCCTACTCCGCCGTACTTCTTCGTTGCTCTCCAAATGTGTAGCCGCCATTGTCCACCTTTACAATAACAACATCGATTCGTCATGTACGTCCCAGCCAGCCCACCATAATCCTTTAGCAAGTCGTACCCTAGTTTCGATATCCGTTAAACGCCGCGCAATGCTGTCCAAATGATGCTTTTGAGCCTCGTGGGCTCTGAGTCTAGAATGATAGAGAGAGAATGGAAAATTTGACACCGCAGACAACAGTCGACATGTCTTGTCTATCAGGACTCGCCGCTGCCGCCTTGGGGGCTCGTCCGGATCTTGAATTTGTCACGGAGCTTGTCGGCCAGCCTGGCCCGGCGGCCTCGCGCGTCAACCTCATGCTCGGAAGACCCTTCCGGTGCGGCGTGGGCACGCTGCTCGCGTCGGTAGTCTCGCAGGGCTTGCATTCGTTCTTCCACGGATGCGTTCCGCAGTCGATTGAGATCCAGGAGGCGAGATGTCCTGCGTCTCTGCGGTCCATTGGTACTGTTACTGTCGCTGTCTTGGCCGTCAAGCTCGAGCGGAGGCGGGAGCGCATCGTCTGCGGAGCTCCGCTCCTCGTCCTCGTCGTGTTCAGGTCGCAGATCGTGGCGGCTGTGACATGTTAGCATCTGTACAACATACACCCATTTTGCAAAGGAGAACTGACCACAACGGGCAGGTGCCAGACACATTGACGAGCCAAGGGTCGATGCAGCCTGGGTGGTATTTGTGGTTGCAGGGCAGCACGCGGACGTCCTCTCCCACGTTGAAGTCTTCTGTGCAGATTGTGCACCCCAGGTGCTCGTCGTTGGAATTACCGACGGCTCCAGTGGCTGACATTGTCGCACCTCCGGTGGCCGCTGCCGTGGCCTGCGGAATGCTGCCTGCCGCTCCTTGCGGCGTTGCTCCTCCTCCTGCGGGCTCCAGCTCGATGGGTCTGTCGCGCGGTTCAATCGAGGCATTTTCGAGTTCCATATCGGGATCTGGTTTCGCGGGTTCCGGGCTGCCAAACTTGACAATCGGAATCGTCTCCAAAACCGCGCGGGCAAGGCCCTTGGCACGGCTTTGGCGAGGCCGTCCGGCGTGACCACTGCTGGGGCCGTAGCGTTCAGGGTAGCGATGGGCTCGGATGGCACCTGTGCAGATGATGATGAGGAAGAGCAGGGTGATGAGGCCTGTAATGGTGTACAGAATGCTCATGGCGACGGCCGAGTTGTTGCCGCCGCTGCTGCCGCCACTGCCTGAGCTGTCCGATGTCGTGTTGCCAGTGATGGTGACTTGGATGACGTCAACTTCGTTGGTATTGTTCAGAATTTCAAATGCGGCCATGGCGTCGCCAGCGTCGGCCATGGTGAAAATGCTCTGGTAGGGAAGTTCAGAGCCTTCGAGCATGCACCAATTACCGACAGTACTGTAGAGCACAATGGCCTTCGGCTTATTCTCCATCAACTCCAGTAGCATGACATTGGGGGTTGCCGAGCGGCCATCGTCCTTCTCGTCGCATGACAGGTAGGCGATCTGCCCAGGGCCAGTGATGAGATCATAGTTGTCGGGGTCCGCCGCAATCATGATACCTTCGAACTTGATAGACTGCGTAGGTTAGCTCATCCGTCAAAACACGCACACGTCGGCGGTAGAAGGATACGTACTCCACGGGCGACTTCGGATTGATTTAAGCCTAAGCTTTGGGTAGACGGCATGATTGTGTAGTCGAGAGGCATCACCTCGCCGCCGGCGGAAGACAGTGAGAGCTGCATTGTTGACTCGGCGGCCCAGTCCGGGACGTCGTTCTGTGCGGTGATGGTCGGTGCCTGGGCGGCGGCGGCGACAAGCGGCGCCCGCCAGCACCGCCAACAGAGGGGAGGGTATCATCCCGCGTGGTCTTTTCTTTCTCTCACTATAAGCGACGGTCGACGTCGCTATAGCGGGGGTGGGGAAAGAAGAGGGAATCGATCGCGGGATGTCGAAAGAGAACGCGGCAGGTCGGAACCGGAGGTTTATCGTCGGGCAAAAGTGGGCGGCGAAAGAGCAGGCCTCTAGGATGAAGATCGTAGGTCGGATGTCGAGCGCCTGTAGGGGGACGGTGGAGACGCGGAAACAGAGCAAAAGCTATGCGGCGGGGGGTCGTTTGGGATGTCGCATCTCAATGCAGAAGCGCACGCATTGAACGCAGCGAAGGCTCAGGGCTCGCCGGGGCTCCGTCGTCGTGATCGACGTGCAAGTTGTATGCGAACCAGATCACGCAGCCTGGGTGTTCCACAAGTTGTATGGCGTTGTGCTCGCGTCGTATCGGCCGACCGGTCGCGCGGGCAGCAGATCTGGTGTTGGTTTGCTATGCAGCAGCGGCGAGGGCACTGAGGAATTGCAAATCCCGACGACGCTTGGCGGAGATCGGAGGGACGGGCGGTCTTCGATGGTGTTTCGTGTTGCTGTGGCGGACAGGGTAGGCAGCGAATTGATGCGGGTCGGATGCGTCGGTGCAACAAGGCGGGCGGGCGGGCAGGATGGAGCGATGAGGGTAGGCGTCGTAGGTCATCGATCATAGGCGGTTGATAGACTGAGAAGAGATGGATGCCACCCACCTTTTGAGGGCCGATGAGGAGGTCGGAAGTCTGTGAGGGCGGGCCAAAATGGACGGTCAGGGTCGGGAAGGGAGAGGAGGTTCAGAGTCGGATGGCGAAAGCCACGGGATTCTCCCCTCCAGGATGCGAGACCAAGACGTGGGACGAGAGTCAAGAATGTGCCAATACCGACCTAACGACTAACGCCAACGTTCACGGCAATGCCAGACCATTCGGCTACGGGAGGGGAGGAAAGCGGGCAGCGAGTTCACTGGGAGGCGCCCCTTGAGCCCAAGTCAGCAGGAAACCGAGGCCAAGGAAAGCCAAGACGAGAACGAGGGCTAAAAGGCCAAGAAGCCAAAGAAGCCAAGGAAAGGCCTTCTTGGCCCTCTTGGGGTGTCCTTGGCAGTGCAATCCAATCAGGGTGGACAAGGCAGGAGTTGTCAGTGTCACTCTTGGCAGACAGGTCTTACTGCCACCAATCAGCAGGTGCGCCAAGACCAAGGCATTGGCTCCCCGTTGAGAATGGCTCGTCGCGTCGTGGCACCTTACCTTGACATGTATGAGCTCATCAGCTCGACGTGAGAGCATTGTCCTTACATAATCCAGTCACCGCCACGCCGCCCAGGAGCCCAGGAGCCTCTCCTTCTCCTTTGTGCATCATGTGGGAGCTGCTACCCCTCGTCCTGCGGCTCACATCCAGTAGTTGATCACCATGTCTGGCCTGCATCGTGGTGATCTCAACTTGTATTCAAACAAGACACCACGACTCACATACTGGGTCATACTGGGTCATACTGGGTCAGCGCGCCCGGTCTGTCTGGGCTCTGGCTCTAGCTCAGACCATCCAGCCCAGGCCGACCCTCTCGGCATCCGGCAGCTGTTATAGTACCTACGCATATCAAGAAGTCTTGGCTAACTCTCCGTTCCGCCAGTCATGATCAACACACAGACAAGAACATGTAATGCGCCCAAACTCTATCAACTGCCGTTGCCAAGGCAGCACTCATGGTAATGGCCATGTCAGTGTGGCGAAAGCCGTCAATTTTACCTAGGTACCTAGCCTAGATGAACCCTAACTTTACTGAACAACTTTGCGAGACAAATGACGGTTATTCGACCAGCGAGATGATCCTGATATCCGACTACCCTTCCAGCCTTGGCAAGCTGTCATGTGAGCGCAGCGCGTCCGCCGGAAACTCATTACACTTGTATCACAATAATTTATACCTTGCCGTCCCAATTCAGACGCTTTCCTATACACCACTGGAGACGGCCATCCGCCTCATCCGGCCGACTCAGCCCTTGCCAACCCTGCCACGACGCACTCCACGTTTGAGTCCTTCCCCTTCCGGATTCATGATCAGCACCCAAA